GAAGAGCCTGATCCTCTACTTATAACATGATGACAACTTGCTTTAACTTACGGTTTCTTAACTGTATCTTTACTGATATTTTGGGTTGGATAATTTTTGCTTTGTGACCTATACCTCATAAATTGTAGGATGTTTGGCAGCACCCTTGGCCTTCTATCCATTAGATGCAAGATGCTAGTATAAACACCTTCTAAATTTATGCAAAAAAGATATTGCCAAATATTCCTTGAGGAAATGTGCCTTCCCCTAGTTTTTCTTAGAACTATTGTGTTAGAGTCATACTTAACCTTTTATATTAAACTAATATAACATGTCCATTAGCCAGGATTCATTACAGGAAAAAGAATCCTTAGGAGTTTTGAGAATTTAGTGTTTACAACACAATAAGAAGAACCAGAAGAGAGAAATTCAGGGAAGCTCCATCAGCCTACAGTTTTAAAGGCTGACCCTTCAAACTATGAACCAGATAAAGAAATTACTGCCTCTGCCACTATAGCCAAGGCTGCCTCTCACACATATATAGTTTTTGACCAGACTAGGGAATTCAGACCACATATTTATTTTTCCCTAATTTCCAGAAACAACAGAAGCAACAGTATGCTCAACAACACTTACCCCTTTCATGCATATCATGCATTAGTTGAACCTCATCCACAAACAGACATCTAGCTTCAAAGAAGTTTAGAAAATCATGTTTATCACTTTCTAGCTCCTCAAATACATGTGGATGATAAAGGTAAAGGTTTGGGAAGAGTTGCTATGGGCCACAGTAGCATATCAAGCACGTCATTCTGTGGTACATTTGTTTATTTTGAGCAACTAAACTCTCTCCTTCCATTTGTTTATTCATTAATTTAATCACAAGTCAGCCAATCTTGCAAAAGTTGTAGGTATGAATGATTATGGTGTTAGGACTCTTATAAGTGCCAACAAATCAAATTAATTTATTAAAACGCATTAGTAAAGAAAGAAATTAATTAAGTAGGTATTAGACATGGTAAAACTGGACTCATGAATGTTTTTGAGCTAGCCTCTCTCTTTTCGCTCTCTCTCTCTCTCTCTCCACTTTTTATGTTCATTCAACATCCTTTTCCTAGAATAAGCTTCTTCATTGAGATGTGGAACTTAATTAATCACAGAATTATTTACAAGGAATAATGTGTGAAAAATCTGAAAATAAAGTGCTCTCTTTTTCTCCCACCAAAGATTACATATAAAAGACAAATAAGTAACAGACAAGAGCCCTAATTTTCTTTCTGTATACTTTTTGGATGAAGTACTGTAGCCAAGGAATGGGACATTATGCCTGGCCCCTTTGAGAGCCAATGCAGCTCATTCATCTAAGGAAGAAGTTAGGTACTGGGGTTTAAGCTAGGAAAACTGCATGACATGCCTGTTAGAGAAACTCTGAGAGAAACTGCCATATTGTGTTAATGACACCTACCTGCTATGTAACAGGTGCTATGCTAGGTGCTGAAAGTGCTGCAGTGATAAAACAGTGTCCCAGAAAGCCTTTTTCTGTAAACTTGGTCCAACGTAGCTAACCACTCCTGATTTTGGGCTACTAGTAATCTGTGTATAGTACTAATGTTACTGTTTATGTTTCTCTTCCTCTGCACACACACAAAACCTTCAAATGAAAGCCTCTGATATCTTCAGATGATATCTAGCATTGGAACTGGCATATACATGTGATTTTATGAAAATTTGTTGGTCAAATGTTGAGAGTGAAAGGACAAAATGATTGATTAAATGAATTGATGAATGTCTTCCTTTCAAGTTGTAACAGAGGGTCTTGCATTCTCTTTTGCTAAAACAGCTGTATGGAGAAGGAAATCTGGCTTCTGCGAAGGGTGATGGAGGGGCAGCTGATCTACTCTGAGATGTTTCAATTTAAGCTTATCCTTCTCTTGTTCTTTTGCTGTAAGTCTATGTTCATAGCTGTGGTATTTTTTATTGAACTTTTAATATGTGAATGAATGACCATATAAAATGTAAGCTCTCACTTGAATAAAATTGCACAAACAAAGTACTCCAGAAAAAGTGAAGTAAATAAGTCTCTCCAGTGGTAGCTATTTATAAGAACCCCCTCCACCTTTAAAATGCTCTTATATCAATAGCCTTAAGTGGTTTTTTTTGTTAGAATTTCAGTGAGAAAGACATATGATCTGTGACAAGTGGCACTTTATCTTGGTTGGTTATGAAAACATTACAAAACTTATAATGACTAAAAATATTTTAAGTCAACATATAAAATACTTCAGGTTTCTCTTATTCTTTTATGGAGCAGGATGCACAGGGGAGAGATGAGTGAGTATAACTATGATTAAAATCAATGAAGACCATTGCTGGTGTTAATACATGATAACAATATTGTACACCATGGCGGCACATAAAATGATATCACCCATAAATCCGCTGCTCTTTCTGATGCTTCCATGAAAACACATGAAATCATTTTGACTGATTAACAGGGCTATGCTCTACAGGCACTACTGACCCTGAAGTTATTGGTATTACCAAAAGTATCTGAAGCTATAAATCAGGAGCAGTTTACATTATTTGGATCAGGAAGATGGTTCCTAGGAAGAAAGAGAAAAACAATACTTATTTAGGGTTATCTGTGATGTGATTGTACAGAATCACTGTTTGGATAATTTAAGAAAATGCATCATATTCAATTCTTACAAATGGAATAACTGAAAATTAAATGAGGCACTTCAGATTAAGGAAAACAAATAGCTTTCCATAGATTAGGTTTTACTTTTTAGAAAATCTTTTTACAACTACTTAGCTAGAATGGGTGGAACTCAGTAAGGCTACAGATTGTCTACACTTTGAGTTGTCACTTAGTAGTTGCCTAAATCACTTCTATCCTTGAGTTAAAATAGTCAGCTTTGATAATGGGTTTTGAGGTTATGGTGGAGTACTAAGAGAGAATGGAGAAAATCAGTAAAAATTCTACTTACTGCATTTTCTTTTGTTTGGAATCACATAGTAACCAACAGATTTCTATCATATTAAAGATATGAAGGACCATTCTTCCCAACAACCATATAGGGACTTTCCTACAATATTTCTCAACACTCTATCAACGCCTCATACTGAGAAAGATCAGATACCAGCTATCAAGTTGTACAAGAAAAATCTCAGGCTTGTGGGTACCAAAATCACAATCTATGAGATGCTTGGCATTAGTAAATTATTGCACTGGCACCATTTTCAACAATATTTGTAGTGGGTAAACATATTGATAAGCTTTTGATGCAAATTTATCAAAATTGCACATTAGATGTGTTGATACTTTACTATAGAAATCTTTTGATTGAAAACAACAGAAATTAACTCACAAATTTACCTAAAATGTTATATTTCAGGCTTTGTCTAAACTAGACTCCAGGATGTGTAACTTTCTTCTACTTGTGTCTATATTCTTCATTTTCAATCAACTTTCCAAGCTAGCTGGTTTGATTTGACAGTTTTCTGCCAGAACCTCCCAAGATTATTGGCATGTAATTATCGGTATTTTGAGTATATTAATTTATTCATCTGTCCAACAAAAGTAATAACGTTTGTATTTCCTAGGCTTCCTAAATGAGCCAACCAGTAATTTGAAACCACCTTGTGCAGAGTAGGACATTGAAAAAGTGCAGGAGACCTATGCTTCTTACTTTCAATTTTGTAATCCTAATAACTACACTCTGAAACTTCCAAAATGGATTTTAAAATGATACCATATGAGCTCAGAGAGTCAAAGGAAAAAAAGAATAACTGTACATCAGGAAGAAGGGATCAAGGTGGCCATAGGGAGCTAAACTGAAGCAGTGGTCACAACTTTATAGGAAGTAAAAATGAAGAACTTTATATGACCTAAGCTCTGAAAAATTTAGAACATTGACATACTTGTATGTGATTTAAAACATATATATATATACACATATGTAAATGATATGTATATGTGTATGATATATATGCATATCAATAAAAAGTATATGGACGCTTAAAAGGTACTCATTTTTCTTATTATCTACCTTGGCTATTTTGTCAAACATTTAATAGTTAGATTAATTTTGATGGTGCAGTATCACAAATTTTTCCCAGTTTTCAGTACCTCTGCTGGTACTCAAAGTAGATGCTTAGTCTGTCACTAGACACTGCTGTTAATGTGATTCATTCCCCCAAAATTCTAGTTTTCTTTCTCTGCCTTCACACTACAGATAAGCTTCTGCCATGACACAAATGCCCATTTTGGGTCAATAAGTTATTCTTGCAATTTAAGGAGAACAGAATCATGAAGCAGAGACCTGGCTCCAGGGGACCCAGCCTAGATAACAATGCCATCTCTGAAAGAGAGTCTATCACTGCAAGCTGTAAATTTGCTTCCTCCCCCACGTGGATCTACTTTGTGCTTCAGCTGCACACTGTGCTCAGCCTTATTCCTCACCACCGGCACGTCTTTATTTACAGTTAACGAAGAGTTCCCTGTATTATGGCTTCCTAATTAAAACTGAAATCATAGAACATTTAATAATGCAACAAACAGTAACCACTGGATTAGACAAACATTTATTCTGTTATAAAGCCAATGAGAAAGCTTATTGAAGAAAAGCCACAGAAGAGAAAAGGGAAAATTTCACTCAGGAAATGTAAGATATCAGGAGATTTCCTCATCTCTACGTGTGTGATTTCTATTTTATTGTTAATTCAGGATCTCTTCTTCCACAAAGGGAATTTCCAAAAGGTGTTCCACATGTACATGAGAGTGAGCCATGCCAGTGTGTGTGTGTGTGTGTGTGTGTGTGTGTGTGAGAGACATCTGCCACTTAGTGACCATCTTCTAGAACAACTATAGACATGTTTGTCATTATTGGCTGTGGTATGGTGGCTGTGTGGGGAGTCTTCACTTCCTCCTCCTGTATTCTTCTTACATTGGCTTTAATTGCTATGTGTTGTCTTCTGCCTGTCCATAATAACCTTCATCCCATCCACAGAAGCTGCCATTGCTGATGAGTTTGCACTCTTGAAAGACTAAAAGTGGCAGAGAGCTCCCTGGACTCTCATTGCCTAGGAGAAACATGGCTGGACTAGAAAACTGGCTGGAATAGATGCACTGGGAAAAATAATGAGGTACATCCTATAAAATAGAGGTCAATTATAAATGTAGTCAAAGGATTCTGTAGCATTAAAAACCCTGCATCTTAACTCTAGGGATATACAACATGACTGGAAAGTGGATGTAATATTTTAAAAGGAAAAAATATATATATAACCCCGATGCATCACTTGCCTCTTTAGTAATCACTGTTACTTAGTAATAATGTAAATGCTGTTTATTCATTTTTAACTTTTAGAAGCTATCTATAAGCTATTCACATAAAACTTCACAAAGCTTTCAAGCCACAGTGTTAAGATTGTAGCTTCAATTTGTATAGAGAAATTTGCAATACTCCTATGTTACTTTTGCTATAATACAGGAAACAGAAAATTAAATTATCTGTTCTTTAGAACTACTAGAGAAACTTTGAACACAGCAAAATCTAAAGAAATTACATCCTAATAAAAGACATTTCTAAGTAAACAGGGATTATTTGCCACTTTCTTATCTGCATAGTCTGTGAAGGCTGGATATAGACAGAATAAATATCAGGCCTGCTAAAGGGAGAGGCACTTTTCTAGGGTAAGGACAAACAAGAGAGTTAATGGCACTGGGGATTGGCTGGCTGTCATATTAGAACTATCAGATCCCCAAACACAAAGCCAATTCTCTGTGCTTGCTGATTTCTTTCCCACAGGACGTGTGATGAGTGTTTGGCTATAGCAGCATGGAAGAAAAAGTCTGGGGTGGAAAGCAAAACGAGATTTTTTTTTTCTCACAGTTCTTATCCTTGACAAGAGAAGAGATTTCAAAACCTACAAGAAAGATCTCTCCTAAAATATTTGAAATAAGAAGTAAATTAAAACTAGCTGAAACTCAAACATAATCCCAACCCAGTTGAACTCCTGTTTGGACTGAAGAAGTTATTTTCTTATATCAGTTGTCAAATGTTTAGTTCTCATGTGGTAAGCAATATTTATTCCTGTTTATAAAGTTCTTTTTTTTTTTTTTTTTGGTACTGGGGATTGAACTCGGGACCTTGTGCTTATGAGGCAGGCGCCAGAACCGCTGAGCTAAATCCCCAGCCCTATAAAGTTCTTTAGACTGTGATATATATTATACAATCAAAAAATATTCCAAGAATTCAGAAAAAATAAGTCCTAAATAATAGAAAACAAACAGTCATAGAAATAGATTCATATGTTGACAAAGCCATTAGTTATCAGGTATGTTATAGGAATATAAAAAAATGGACAAAAATGGAGAATTTGAAGTGAAACCTGAAAAAAGGAACAAAATGGGAATTTTAAACTAGAAAATATAAACTCTGAAATTAAAAATAAATTGTATGATGGAGCTTCTGGGAAGTAGATGTCCTTTCCCACATTTTTTTCCCATTAAGTACTGCCAAAGACCTTAGCCATTATGTAAGAAACAAACATTAGATGACTTGGAGAGGTGAAGAAAAGAGACTAGACTGGCTTAACACCCTCAAGAACTGAAAAATAACAGAGTGGTGAATTTCTTATGTTTCTTTTTACCTTTAGTATCCCAAATTTAGAGCTGCAGAAACCAGTATCTGGAAAACATAGGTGCAAACAAACAAACAAACAAAATTTAGAAAATTTTACTCTTTCTAGGTGAAAAACTAGTAAAATTGTCTAGCAAGGCAATTATCACCCTACTACAGCCAAACACCACAGAGAAAACTGTGTAGACCTTGAGATGAGAGAGGCCATTTTTCCATTCAGCCCTAACAAAGAGTTTCCACCTCATCCGTAGGATTGTCAGTCAAGGCTCACTATTGAATTTGGACATTTCTAACCAGTAGAAAGAAATGTAATGTTGCCTAATCCCAGCTCCCCAAACCATTGCCTTACTGGAGGGCCATCAGAAAAAGCCAGCTAAAACAAGATTTAAGCAATATGTAGAATCTTGTGGCACAATATAAAAAATGCAGGTTTCAATTAAAATAATCACTCATAATACCAAACTAAGCAGAATGAATAAATGTTCTATTCAATAAATATCAACAGTGAAGTAACAGAGATTTTAGAATTATCTGACAAATGTTTTAAAGTGAAGATCTGGAGTACAAAAAAATAGTTTCACTGAGAAATTATAACACATTTGAAATAACCCCAAAAAATGCAAAGCCGAGGGGTTCAGTACAAAACAAAATAAAAGATAAAAATACAACAAATGAATAACCTCAACAGTAGAACAGAAGGGGCAGAGGAAAGACTTAGGATATAAAATATGGGATAATAGTAGAAACTGGGCAACAGGGAGAACATAGATCGATAAAAGAACAGAGCTTCAAAGATCCACAGGACCAAAACAAAATGTGGAAGTTTTGTGTCCTGGAGTAAAGGAGAAAAGAGGGTGGAACAGCTGAAAAAATTCTTATAGAGAAGTAACGGATGAAAGCTTTGTACATTTCTAGAGAAGTACATTTCTGGCTCCAGGAAGCTGAATGAACTTCAAAGGATGAACCCAAGGATATTCATGTCAAGACACATTATTGTTAAAGTTCTGAAAACTAAAGACAAGATAATGTCTTGAAATCAGGCAGAGAAAAATGACTTTGTCTGTAGGTAGGAAAAAAAATTTGAATAACAGTGAAATCCACCCTGAAATCATGGAAGCTGGTAATGAATTGTAGCACAATACTTTTTAAATGTTGTAAGAAGGCTCTTTACCCAGAATCATACTTCCGTCAAATATAGTTTTAGAAATGCAGGAAAATTCAAGACATTCTTAGATGAAAGAAAACTAAAAGATTATGTCACCTGCAAATCTATTCTAAAAGAATGGCTAAAATAAGTTCTGCAAAGAGAAAAAAAATAATAAAAAGGAGGGTTGCAATATCAGGAAGTAAGAATACTATAAGCAAAATATGAGGAAATTTTTAGATTTTCTTTTCCCTCTTTATTTTGTAAGTTTTGCTTCATGGTTGAATATAGCCTAATCTAGCTCTACCTTTATGTAAAGCATTTATTTCAGGCAATTATGTAATAAACGGGGGTACAGAGGAATGCAAAGGGAAGAAAGTGTTCTATACTTAACTCATACTGGCACAATGACAGCATTTGTAGGCTGTCATATGTTATGAAATAATGAAAAGCAACCACTAATAAAACTATATAAAATATACTCAAGCAATACTATTGATGAAATAGAATCTCCCCCCAATTTTTAAGTAATTTCTCAGGAAAGCAGAAGCTACATACTAACATGCTTCATTGATCAATTCTGCCACACACTTTAAAAAGAAGTATTAACACACTTGAAAATTTCTTTCTGACAATAGATGCCAGTATAATTATGTTGTCTGAGGGTAACAATATGAGCAGTAGAGAAACAATAATTATAAAATAACAGGTAACTGATAAGTAAAGGAAGTAGAGGATGGTATATGTGAATTAATTTTTTTATTATGAGAGTAAATAAATAGACATGTCTAAAGCTGGAAAAAAGGTGAGGGAATAAGAAGGAAAATCCCAAATGATAAACATTTTAGGAATTTCCCTTGGTACCAGGCATGGTGGAGGGGAAAGGGAAGATTAAGAGACTGTTGATGTTTATCATATCATTCTAATCTCTTATATACCTTACAATGATAAGACCTTTTTAAAAAAGCCAATTTATGAATTAAAAGTGTAAAGGATTTGAGTTGATAATTGATATTCAGATGGAGAATATGCTTTAGGATGAGCTATATCAGGAAGTTAAAAATGCAAAGGCCAATTATATCATCTTTGGATATAGGGGAAGGGAATTCTCATATTTAAGAACTGTTGCATAGTTCATTTTTAAAACATATTCTTCTTTTTCAGGAGAATGGATGTATTGTTTTAATCAAATTGATAAACATTTATTATTAAAAATATAAATTTATAAAGAAAAGATTAAAAATTTATTCTAATTTCTCTGTCCATTGCAAATATTCTCCCTAGCCTTCAGTCCTATAAACTGTAATGATATAAGGATGAGTAATCAGATGAAGAAACTTTTTTAAATGTATAAAATGGCCCCAAAGCATACTCTTAGATTTGTTTATTTGAATTTGTTGAAGAATAATTTCATAAGATATAGGAGAAAAAATTGTTGACCTTCAAAAAAATTTCATTGCACAAAAGGAGAGCATTTTATAGTAGAACCCTCTAATCTTAAGAAACTGTGGGAACCATGGCATTTGAGTTGCCATTTTTAACTACAAGTTTCAAGCTTAGTATCAACTGATCTCTGGTATGACAGATGAAGACATTAGCACTTTATACATCTTATCAGCTTCCATCTCTACCTCTAAAATACTATTTAATATAAATGTGATGTAGTATTATTAAGCTTACTTTTACTTTTATGATGTAATTATAATCATGAAGAAAATGATCCTTGTTTGCTTCAAATGATTATTGTTCCAATTCTTTTATAATTGTTTCTCCATCTTTGGGTGATTATTTCAACTCTCCAGTTTTGAGTAGTTTTCATAATTAGTGGCGATCATATAGAAGAAGATCAAGAATATAGGGATTTGAATTTTTAACTTTTATATGCAATACAGAACTGTTTGAGAATACTTTTGGTTGCCATTTCATTTGTCTGATCTCTTGTTTGAATTTAATAATTTAGGTTACACTTTCCCTTACATCCTTATAGAAACTGTTCCATTGTTTTATGACAGTGAATGTGGCGTGGAAAAAAGTGCTTGAATTTAATGCGCCATTATACGTCAAAATAACTGAAGACTTCTGCATTGTTGGATTTCAGTGACACTTTTTCTCAGAGAGGGTAAGTTGTGGTCAAAGATTTGTCTTTTCCAAGTTGACTTTTCTTATGCATTTTAAAATCAGTTGCCTCTCCGCCCTTCACACGTTCATTCATTTTTTCCTTACATCTAAATCAGACCATTATATAAACAGTATTTGAAATAGTGTCCTTTATTATACAAAGCACAAGGGCAAAAAAGGACAACTACTGGTAGAAATAAATATTAGCAGAGAACTGTGCAGGATATACTACTTCTAGGGAGCACCACAAACTTAGAAATAAACATATAAATTAGTCGCTGCTTTCATCCATTACAGGCTCTTAAAAGCACAACCTTAGTGGCATTTTATCTGGAGTGTGCTTGAAGCTTGTCTAATTTGAAGATATATTATTGCCTCTGACTATCATCCAGCAGTCAACAGAATTTCATTAGTGAACTAAGGCTAATCTATCCAGATTTCTTAAGAAGAAAAGGTACAAGTTTGTCAGAATATACTGGATGGTTTATTTAACCATTTACTTAAACCATTGAAATTAATGGGACTGGTTTTTGATTTAAGAAAACTTCTTGAATGTTTATGATTTAACATCCTATCTTACATTGACCAGCCATTTGCTGACATAAACTTAGTGCAAAATTTATTTAATTTATGAATTGCTAATTCTAGCAGAATACGCAGCACAGCTGTTACTCAATATTAGAAGGCCATTTTAAGCATAATTTTTCTACATAGTTAAAGACTATTGTAGAAGAAGAAGCTTAAAAATCAGCTCCACAAGCCATTTTGCATCCTTATTGTCATGCTATGACATTTTTTTAAAAGGCGATACGAAGGTATAAGATATGTATTCATCCTTAACTTCTCATCTTAAGAGAAATTTTGTATTCTAAGATGTGGGGAATATTGTTTACCTTTTTCTTTTTTTAATTTACTTTTTATATTTTATTTTTATTTTTTGATACCGGGGATCGAACTCAGGTCTTTGCACTTGTGCAGCAGGCAGTGAAACCACTGAGCTAAATATCCAGCCCCTACCCTTTTCTTTTAAATATATTTTCCATAGGTTAAGAGCAATGACAAAAATACATTGCACTTCTACTCTGTCCTAGGCACTAGGTGCTACACAGGTATCAAGGACAAATCTGAAACCTTGGAACTCATTTGGAAGAGGTTGAATTCATAAAATCACAGAAAATATTTAGACAGAAAGGTGGATCTAGTTGAATCTTTTTATTTTAAATAGGAGAAATATTTTTCCATGGTATAGAAAGCCTAATACAATTGTAAAAATAGGGCAAAGCAATGACTTAGTGAATCTTTTCTTAAGTAGAAAACCGACATAATTTGAGCTTGCAATGGGAGAGTATCCTGTCTCCTTTTTTACAGTACAGTTAAGTTTCTACATTTGTAGCTTATAATAGTGTTTATCAGAAGCTTGATGAAACCATTATTTCAGCAAGGAACTCCAGTGTTCCCTGTAGAACAGGCTGGTGACAATACCCACTAAATCTAGGCAATATTTTATATCAGAAAACATCTTATCAATCTTTATGGATAAAAGAAAAAGACAGATTTGAGCTTGGCTTCTTCATTTTCGGGGATTTTCTTAGGAATATCCATTCCAGCAATGAGTCAAGGAAATGATTTCCCATTGCTCTATTGTTTTATGTTTGTTTCTGGTGTAAAGAGAAAGAGTGTACCTTTTAAGATTCTGAAAGGACTAAAATGTGGTGGTTTCCTCCAGGGCTTCAATTCTGCTCATTGTAATGACCTGGATCCTTCACTGGAAAAACATCTATCGCATTTCTACATGAAGCTTGCTTGTTGAGAGATAAGCATAGGTAGGCAGGTGCCATTTGAACTGCAAGCTTTAAAAGGATGGGAAAGAAGATTCTCATTTTACAAAACAATAATGTGATGGGTAGTGATAACAAGCATTTGGCAAAATACCTAAATTGACAAGCTCTTAGAACTATGTTTTGCACAGTCTCTTTTAGATATTTCAAGGACAAAGAAATCATTTTGTTCAGATATATCATTAGTCATAAGCTCTCTTGGCCTTGTTTCTAGGACAGTGCAAAATTCCTCTATACTTTTATTCAAAGGGAGTATGAGCTACCATTTTACAGAATCCTTTTCCCCCTGTCTCTCAAAGTTGCATTTCAAAGATGCTATTCTGAATAAAAATATTAGCTAGGTGGATAAAGAAGTAGGTAACAATGTACATTCCCTTCATAATTCTTTGCTCTTTCAATAAATATTTACTGAACACCCACTATTCGGCAGGCACATTCAATGTTAGTGTATTAAAATAATTTTCCTATACTCAAATATCTCCTAGCCCAGTCTCTAGCATGAAATTAATTCCAAGCAATATGTACTAAGAAAATGTTTTATAAAAGTACTGTTTATTTTAAGGTGGTTGAAATAGCTCAGTCTATAACTCTTTATCTTGCTTCTGTAAGATCTTTAGAGTATAAAGTCTAAAATAGTGACATCTTTTGAACCAAGATGTTTTGAGAGATTGTTCATTGTTTCAAGTCCTATAAGGTACTGGACAGTGTATAGTTTTGGCATACTAAGAATGAAGATGTATAGAAGTGCATTAAGTTTGTAATAATGTCTAACTGTCTCAGCTGTGAATGGGACTGACTTCTAGGAGGCATCTCTGAGAATGAAGTGCCCCACAAAAGACTGTATGCAGATTTTCAATTCCAAACATGTTTTAAAATTTTTTTTAAAAGTTACTTTTGCCATTGCTGTCAGGTATATACTCCTTCAATGAGCCCTGGCAGAGACTCAGAAAACTTAATTAAGGCCTCACAGAACATCATGTCCAAATTAGGCAATGTCTGGATGGTGAGATTTCCGGCCCTGTTGGCTTCTAATTCACATCAATGTGTTAGGCTACTTCAATAGCAGAGGATGAAAACTTCATACCTTTGGCCCCTAATTAAGTGTTTTAGGCAGACAGCAAAGTAAGATAGTTTTTTTTTTTAAATCATTCCCAGAACCCACAAGAGAGAAATTGTTACTGCTCAAAAGTCTAAAAGGAAGCCTGCTAGCTCTCAGTTTTTGAGAGAAAAGAAACAAAATCAATGAGAAAGGATTCTGAAATTAGTGTTCAGTGAAATATACTGATTAACACAGAAAATGTAATATACTATCAAGTGACATTTCAGGCTGAAGGGTGATTTCACTAGAGAGGTTTCTATAGCAAGGAGTAAGACAGTCACTTATTTTTTTAAAAAAATATTTCTCTAAATATGATAAGAAATTGATCGGGAAGTTTATGATCTCACTCAAATTTCACTACACTGCAGAAGCAGTCTTGTGCCTCATTTGCTGAAGTGTCATTACAACATCAGTGAAATTTCACCATCTTTCCAAACTCCACATGTACCCTCCAACATCAATTATTCAGACGAGCCCATCTTGGCATGCAGCTCCTTAATGTAGCAATTTTAGTGCTGGTCTTTGTTTTGTTTTGCTGTCAAGCATTCTACGATGATGTCTTTTTCACGGAAATATTTCCACATTACTGTGCCCAGGACAAAGCTGTTTTGTATGCATAGGAACTTGCATCAGGACTTTAAACTGTTTTCTATTCTACAGTGCTTAATTTTTCATTTATGTGACACGTTACTGAAGAGTAGTCCACCTAGTAAACAGTATATTGTGCAACAATAAATATTTTGCTGGGTAGATAATCCCCACAATTTAAAAGTTTAATTTTCAGTGTGGATCTATACAAAAGTAGAATTGTTAGTATGTTGTGGATGCACATTTTTAATGATATACTCTTAATCACTATCAGATAAATGACCTAAACTTTAATATGCCTTCCAGATATTAGTTGCCATTTCTGCTAAACTCTGTAAATTCTAATAAAGGTGTTTTATGGGCAGAAGTTTTATTTTTTTAAGAAGATATATTACATAGATTTCATCAGTACATAAAAATGTTATCTTGGGAACACTGCAAGATTCATATATTTCTAAATTACAGCACATTCCTGTCACTTTCTTATGAGATCATTCTAATTTTCTAAAAAACTATAATAGTTTGGATTGGGTCATGTTTCACACTTTATTCTATTTGAATTAATGATGTTATTTACTTGGAACTTGATTGTATACTTGCCTCGCATTCTATGAGGTAGTTCATAAGAGGCAGCAACATAATAAAGAAGGAAAATGTTATTTACTTGCTTTCCCAATTCTCAGGAGCTTGGTATAAATTCTCCCCAATAAAGTGTGTTTAGCTTGTTTCTGTATTCCTTTAAGGCTCAATATACAGGAGCAGGCAGCAGGAGTGCTCAGAGTTGCAGCCTTTGTAGGATTTTACTCCTGAGCACCTGCAGTGCTTGGCCTTGATCTGGGAAACAAACGTATTCTCAGCTCTGGAACTCCTTGATCCCAGAAACAAAACTGTCTCCTACTATGGAACTTCAGCTTTAGGAGTTCAGCTTTGCCTCACCAGCCCCAGGAGAGGCTGATAATATCACATAGCAAGGACTCAAGTGAGTTGTGCACAATAAATATTTTCTCAGAGCAACTCTATGCATTAAATGAGACATATGCACCAAATAAAAACTCCTGCTTCTAGAAATACTAAGTTTAGCTTCTGGCAACCAAGTCTAAACCTAAAATGAGGCTGGTGCAAGACTACAGCTGATCACATTTTTGGTGGAAATGACACATAAACCAAGGGGTCAAGAAGGAAGACAAAAACTGGCTTTCAAGCAGCAGAGAGTGAGAGAGAGCTGGGCTTTTCTTGGTGTTCATTTCACCCTTCAGTCAGAAACACTGTGGATTTTGGCATCAAGATCAACATGCCAACACTTCAGGAGATGATGGTTACTGAAAATACCAGTACCTATGGATCTATGATTGTCATAGGTGGAAAAAGGAGCACTCTGGCACTCTCTGGCTTTGTCTCAGGTTTGGGGTCCTAATATAATTACAAGCCAGGATTTCAAAGATCCATGAGCCTTAAATGGCTAGCCATAATCCAGAA